ACCTAAGACAGGACACCCATCTCTGCTATGGGTTGTTCCAATGACGGGTAATCGAGGATTCATTCGGCCATAATGGCTCCAACCTAAGACAGGCACAGCTCCCCCTGGTTCCCAGTCTCTTAATAAAACAGAGAAGGGGGATATGTGGGAAGCCACCCACATCAAAATGGCTGCCATGACCTTCACATAACAAAAAGGCCACTGTGACCTGGTTCCAAACCTCCACCCCCTTGCTCGGGTTCCCTGCTGGATACGTTCCGCGGGCCGGGACACTCGGGGGCCCAGCACCTAACGACACTGTCTTCAACACCTCAACATCTGCGTTTTCGTGGATGCTGGGAAACGTTTACAGGCTTATTTGGAACAAAGACTTCAAGCTCCAAGTGGCACTGCAGGTAAGAACACGTGGCCGAGGACCGGCAGATGGCATAATAAATGTGTCACTGGAGTCCCACGTAATCGACTGCAGTTTGAGTCCTGGACCCAGCAGCCTGAAACTCATGCTGGGCACACATACGTGTGTGCCCCAAATCCTGAGAGAATAGAGGGAAGGGACTGCAGTGTGCCTATCCCCTCTGGGGATGATTTCTCACATTCTATCTCTGTCTCTCTGGCAAGTGCATGAGCCTATAGCAAAAATCTCTCTCCCAAAAAAAGGACATGTGGCTGCTGTAAGAGCCTTCTCAAAGGGTCCGCGCCATCCAGCACAGTCAGCAGCAACATGCCCTGTGCCCTCTGACCGTCCCTGCGCCTGAACCCCTGACCGGGAGCCGCTGCGGTGCTCCAGCACTCACTCTGATAGAAGCAACCCTTCTGGCAATGAGGCTAGAGGCACTGGGACCCCAACCCGAGGGAACTGACCAGCCCTCCCCATGGGGCCTGAAGGTGGCCCAGCCTGGAACCTGCACTCTGTGCTGAGACCAGGAACCAAGTCTACGCTCCATCTGGTGAGCCTCGCTGGGCTCCCCAGGGAGAGCTCCCTGGAGGTGCTGCTGCAGATACTGGCCTGGGCAGCCCAGCAACCCCGGTCCCTATGGCTCATGCTGTGGATTTTGCCCAATGCTGGGAGTTCGGTGAACAAAGCCATGACACTGTAAAGACACAGCTCCAGTAGTGGACTCTCAACAGGCAGTTCCCCAGATACACGGTGGATGATGCCACTCGGCAAGGACGTTGTACAAATCTGGGACGGTGACGTCTGACGTCTAATTTAGCATTACTTTCGTTTCCCACAGTGCTTTTGCTCCTTTTCCCCACTAAGCTATACGAAGATGTCAATACAACAGTGCTTTAGGAAATACGACTGAGGGCAGTCTTCACCTGGGGCCAGCTGGGACAAACAAGGGGAGCCCTGGAGGTGAGACCCACAGGGCAGATGAAGCAAACGAGAGAAGCCGAAGAAGGCCTCCATCCCCATTATGCAGACAATGCTGAGAAACAACGGCAAGAAGACGGCTTCGAGGAGACAGAGAGACGTGCGCGCAGGCCTCGCCTTCTCACTTGGACAGCAGGGAGACCGCGGGGCGCTCAGCGTGTGCGCACCCAGATTGTGTTCAGAGCTTTTTCTGCGAGCCAGGTGGGCAGGAGCCGTGCTTGGGGCCAGGGCCAGCGGTGAAAACTGCGTGGAAAACGCAGGGTCTGGACCAGTTGCCTCAGAATGATCTGGATGCGTGTTGAGATGCGGGGTCCATCCTACATCGCATAAACCAGGCCCCGGTGCTGGGGGACTGGGCGCTTTCGACAACGGTGGTTTCTATCCGGAGCATCATTGAAACGCCTTCGTTCTCACGCCTGCAGCCCCACCTGTCTTTCATCCCGCCATCAACGGAGAGGTTGAGAGCCGACCGACATGAAGAGCACAAACGCAGGCTCAGCGTGAGGGGAGCCTCAGCTGCAGACAGCGAGCCTCGCTGAGCTGAGCCTAGACCCGCTGCCAGTGGAGCCCTGCAGCCTCCCTCTCGTCTAGGAGCTGGCGCGGACTCTCAGCCCTGGGCTCTCCGCGGAACCCGCAAGGGCTGGGTCCCGGAGTCTTCTCCCGGGCCCCTCCCCCGTCCCTCGGCCCCGCCCCTCGGCCCCGCCTACCTTCTTCCCCGACCCTCCCCGAACACGCTGCCAGAAAGTTCCCGACAGGCGCCGCGGGCAGTTCGGCGGTGACGTCACGGCGGCGCGCCGGCATCAGGAGAGGACCCCGCTGCGACCGCGTCCCCTCGGGTCCTTGAGCCACTTCTGACCGTGTAGCCATGGCCTTGCGGCTCTTGAAACTGGCCCCGGCGTCCGCGCCCACTCGGATCCTCTCGGCAGGCACCCGGCGCGCGGTGAGGGGCGGCGAGCGGGAGGCCTCGGGTTCGCTGGGCGCGGCCCCTTTCCTTTCTCCCGTCTCTGCCGGCTGGCGGCAGGAGCTGCGTAGGTGCAGACTGGAGGGACTTGACCTCCGGTTAGGGTTAGGTCAGCAAGGGATTTCGAGCAGAGAGTTCTTATTATAAAATGACGTTAGTGTTTTTAGGAGGTATTTCCGACTGCAAAAGGAGGAGAAAAGGAAAGCTGATTGTAGAAACCAGGTGAACGGGGACCTGTGCTAGCGAGGCGAACCCGGGGAGCCCGTGACAGTGCATGTGCGCCGGGCGCTCCACCCTCGGGGGTGAGCACCTTCAGTAGGTGCAGAGATGAGAAAGGGAGGCTGGAGGGACTGGGAGTGCCTGTGGGGTGTGGGTCCGCTTCGAAGTTCTGCTGCCGGCGTCTGTCCTGTCCCAGGAGCACTTAGTGAATACGCGGTGTAATTATCTTTTTTTTTTTTGGAGAGGTTTTCACTATAGGGCGCGTGCGCTAGCCAGACAGACAGAGACTTAGAGACAGAAAGTGAGAAATCACCTCCCAGGGGGGGTGGTCTCGCCGCAGTCCCTTCTCCTCCATTCTCCTCTCGGGATCTTGGGCACGCATGCACATGCCCGGCGTGAGTTCTAAGCCACTGGGTTTGGGATGCAAACCGCGGTCGACTACGTGGGAGTCCAGCGACATAGCCATTATGCTAACTGCTGGTTCCCTAATTGTCTTTTTGAAGAATTACTTCATTCAAGTTTATTTGCATTATTATTTTTTAAATTTGACTAGAGAGAGAGAAAGTGAGAAAGCAAGCTGCCAGATCCGGGACTCCAACCACCGTCTGCCTTGTGGGAGTTCATGCCGTGCCACTTGGGAGCCCTGTAATTTACTCACCGGCTTCGATGCCCAGTGGGATTTTGGTCCTCTGACTCTCTACTGCTCCCCATTGTTTAGAAAAGTGCTTGGCTCTTGGGCCTTAGAAAACTTGAGAGAATGAGTCAGTGCTCCTGCACAGTTGCTACTGAGTGAACAAAATATTCGTGAACTGTCCGGAGTTTGAGGTCTCGGGAATATAGAGAGAATTTACTGCCGTTTACTAGCCCCATTTCCCATGGTGGTTCCCATTTGCTGTTGTAGGCAGTGCTTCGGACATTTTAGTAAAAATTCTTCCCATTCTTGGGACCAGCAGTTAGCATAATGGCTATGTCACTGGACTCCCACGTAGTCGACCGTGGTTCGCGTCCCAGACCCAGTGGCTTAGAACTCACGCCGGGCGCGTGTGCATGTGTGCCCAAAATCCCCAGAGGAGAATGGAGAAGGGATTGTGGCGTGACCATCCCCCCTGGGGGGTGATTTCTCGCTTTCTGTCTCTCTGTTTCTCTCTGTCTGGCGAGCGCATGCGCCCTATAGCAAAAACCTCTCCAAAAAAAAGAAAAAAAATTTCTTTCCATTCTTTTTTCTGCTATGAATGTCTGTAGTGTGGGGGGCACCGAGGCAGTTTGTGGTAAAGTGAAATTCCGTGCATTTTTTTTCATACAGAGCATTTTCTGTGAACTTTTCGAAGGCACCTGACAGTATCTACAAAAGTGGAATCATGCGTGCATGCTCACCTTTTAGTTGACTGAAGCTGTGCTTTACTCAGATTTGCTGGTTTCTCCTAGCAGCGTCCGTTTCGAGATCTTACCTGGCACACCACACGGCGGTTCGTTGTCATGCCTCTTGGTCGTGTTCCCCTCTCAGATCTCTTTTTATTAGATGCCCTGGACAGCTCTGAGCAGTCGGGGGCAGATGCTCTGCCCTCACTGGGACTTGCTGGTGTCTCTCTCCTGCAGAGATGTGGGATGTGTGTCCTTGGGAGAGGACCACGGACGTAAAGGACAGCCGTCAACGTGCTAGCTCAGGCTCCGCTGTGGCTGTCGGCCCTGCACACAGCCAAGTTAGTGGGGGTGCTTCCACTGTGAAGGCAGCCCTTTTGCTCTTCCTTGCTCTACTCCAGGAAGGAGGTGGCGTGGAGCCCACACTAAGGACGTGGAGTTACTCCCCCTTCCCTAAAGGCAGAGTGTCAATAAACTAGAATTCTCCTGCGTGGGAGATTTGTCTGCTTTTGCTGGAAGGCATGTCTAGTAGGGCACTGTTAGCCGCAGTCCTTTTCTCAGACCTCTCCATCCCATCAGGTTCTGGGCGCACGCGTGCACACATGCCGGTGTGTTTTCAAGCTGTCAAAGCTGGGATGTGCATCTCGCGCAGCCGTGTGGACTCTTACCCCTGCGGCGAGAATTTACCCGCTGTGCTACAGGCCAGCCCCTTTATTTTAGTGTGGACTCTTGGATGTTTAGTTTATGCTTTGGTTACAATCTAAGACTGCTTCATTTTGTCCTGGTCATTCTAGGCGTGCTGTCGGGAGCTCTTGTCCTTCATGGCTCTGTGTCCCTGTGTTGGACTTTCCAGTGTGTGTGTGTGAGTGTGTGCATGCGCACATATGTGTGAACACTTCCGTACTTTCTGCTACCACAGGACAGCCGAGGCCTAGAGCCGGCAGTTTCTACAGGAAGCTTTTATTCCCTTTATTGGAAAATGGTATTAGAAACCAAGCTCTAGGTGCGAGGGATGCCATTGCTTCTGGGGTGTCCTCGCTTCCACGCCTCCCGACTGACAGGAGGGGACGTACCCGGTCGTGTATATACATGTGGGTTCACAGGGATATCTCTGACCCTGATCCGTTACCACGCAGGTCATCTGGCCTCGGGCGTCTCTGACTTCCCACTCCAGCTGTGTGACAGCTCCAGCTGTGGCACCTCACTCCCACCACCTGCCACCCCTTTCCCTCACTGCCCAATTCCAGAACACTTACGTAGCAGGAGCAGAACTGTCAGCCCTTGGCCCTGTGCAGAACGTCTGCGTCACGCCGAGCACAGTGCCTGTGTCACCTTTACTGGCAGACCACGCTCGTTTCTTCGCAGCTCTGCCCACCGCTTCAGTGAGGGTGCTTCATACTTCTGTAGCACAGTCGGGTGGTTGAGTTACCTTTAGCTTTCCATCCTGGGGTTCTTCCATGGAAATACATTTTTAAAAATTTTGATATGCTGGGACCAGCAGATGGCATAATGGTTACATCACTGCACTCCCACATAGGCAGCTGCAGTTCAAGTGCCGGACCTGGAAGCTTGAAACTCACTAGATGCATGTGTGTGCCCAAAATCCTGAGAGGAGACTGGAGGAGAAAGGATCGTGGCCTGGCCATCCCCTGGGGATAGTTTCTCACTTTCTCTTCCTCTGTCTCTCTCTGGCGAGTATACACACCTTATAGCAGACATCTCTCTTTTAAAAAAAAAAAAAAGGAAATGCGTAGTTCATTCTTTGGGTATAAAGTGGTGTAGTCTTTGACAGTGTGTACTGACGTGTCTCCACTGTTACGGCCCAGACAGCACGGTCTCACTTTCCTGTGCTTCCCCTCTCCCTGGGGCCCCTGGTAGTCACTGCTTGATCTCCCACCTCCGGCTTTCTGTCTTTTCAGAGTGCTGTGTCATTGGAATCATGTCTCACGTCACCTTTTAGACCGCTGCCCCCTTCGACGGTCTGAGGGTCGGCCACTCGTGTTCTTGCGGCTCCGTGGCTCGTCTCTTCACCGCCAAATGCTGCCCCGGGGTCTGCATGCACCAGTTTACCCAGTCAGCTGTCGAAGGCCACTTGACGCTTTCTGACTTTTAGCAATGACAGTAAAGCTCTTAAAGGTAGTTTTGACTGGGACCAGCACATGGCTTAATGGCTATGTCGCTGGACTCCCACGTAGTCGACTGTGGCTCAAGTCACGGACCCAGTGGCTTACTCACGTTGTGTGCATGTGTGCCCAAGCACCCAAGAGGAGACTGGAGAAGGGCCTGTGGGATGGCCATCATTCGGGGGCGAGTTCTTGCTTTCTCTCTGTGTGTCTCGGGCGAGTATACGTGCCCTACAGCAAAATCTCTCACCAAAAGGAAGATGGTTTGACTATTACGGAGAAGAGGCTGGTGACTGGGAGTGCTGGAGACAGAAGGTGAGGGAGAGGCGTGAGGACGGTGGGGACATGATGTCCTGTCCAGGAGGTCTGCAGTTCAGCTGTCATAGGGCCGGGGGAGGGGACGGCGTCCGCCAGGGCTCTCATGCTCACCGTTCTGCTCGTTGGATGTGGACCGTCCTGGGTGCATGGTGGGTGTCCTCTGTCACGAGGGAAAGCGGGTCGGGAATTGGGCGTGGGTGTGGCGTTTCCGCTTTAGGCCTGAGCTTTCAGATACCTTCGGGATGCAGAGGGGAGAGCAGTAATAGGCAGTTGGATGACTTGGTCAGGAACTCAGGACAGAGGCCTGGGCGAGAGAAGTGCTTCTCACTGTTCCCTGTCCCCAGCCCCTTGCTGCCTGTCCTCGCCTGCCCACCCAGTTGCTGCGGGACACGGTGAGCGTGTTCTGGTCCAGGCTCTGGCCAGGCCCCGAGGGTGTAGCAGTGAGCAGTCGGCACATGCTGGGGAGAGGGTGGGCACAGTGCATGGGGAGGTCACAGAGACGGGCGTGGGCATTTTCACCAGCGGGAGGGTTCTTGGTATTTTACGTAAATCAGGTTGAGCATCCCTGTCCAAAAGGCCAAAGCCCACAATGCTCCGAAATCTGGAACTTAGGAGCACTGATATGAGGCCACAAGTGGAAATTCCCACCCAACCTCGTGGGATGGGCTGCGGTTGAAGTACCCCCGTCAGAAGCATTGTAAAGTCCCCGCGGGCTGTGCACAAGGTGATTGTGGCACGTGGGCGAGCGGCCTGCTTAGACTTGCCCTGTCCTCAGGATCTGCCGTTACGGACACGCAGATATCCCACAGGTGGCACACAGACCCTCACTGTAAACACGCCTGGTCTCCAGCAGCTGAGAGGAGCACAGCCTGGGCCGGTGCTGCAGCAGCCCCGGGGCAGTCATGCCATGCCGTTGTGTTTTCCAGGGCGGGATCCACACCAGTGCCCGGCGCGAGCTCCAGTACGGGCCTCTGGCCTACATACTTGGCGAAAAAACAACCAAGAAGCTCACAGAGCGCAGCAAGGTGATAACTGTAGACGGCAACATATGTTCTGGAAAAAGCAAGCTCGCCAAAGAAATCGCGGAGAGACTCGGTATGGGCGCCCGCCGCGCGCCAGGACTGTGTCCTCGGTGTGTGCTTGTCTTACTGGGACCCCACGTGGGCTGTCCTGTCCCAGCCTTGCACCGACTCTCAGAGAGATAGGCCGTTCAGTTCCCTGTGCCTTTGCCTTTGTAGACAGTGAACGGTGGCGAGGCTCGCTGACGTCACGCTGCTGGCCAGTGGCAAAGCCTCGTAGGGACATCGGTCCTGTCTGGTCCTGGCAGCAGCCGTGTGCTTCCTGGAGGCTCCTTGGGCCCCAGGGCTCAGCGCAGCCCCCTCGCTCACACACGTGCATGCCAGACCCACAGCCCTCAGTATCTGTGCCCCTGGCCACCTTCAGGGCGCAGAAGTGGAAGCAGTAATAGGCAGTTGGGTGACTTGGTCGGCAACTCAGGACAGAGGCCTGGGCGAGAGAAGTGCTTCTCACTCTCAGACACAGGCCTGCGGGGACTGCCAGCCGCTGACGAACAGCCGCGGAGGCTCATGGGGGCCGTGTGTCCGGTGGTCCGCGCCGCCCGCTGCTGGCCCAGCCCCACTTCACCCCTCACTTCTCTCCTCAGGCCTGAGGCACTTCCCTGAAGCCGGCATCCACTACGCAGACAGCGTGACGGGGGACGGCCGACCCCTCGACCCGGCCTTCAGTGGCAGCTGCAGCCTGGAGAAGTTCTACGACAACCCGCGGAGCGAGGACGGCAACAGCTACCGCCTGCAGTCCTGGCTCTACAGCAGCCGCCTGCTGCAGTACGCCGACGCCCTGGAGCACCTGCTCAGCACAGGTGCGCCCCGCGGGTGGCGCGCACGGGTGCACTCCGACTTCCGGGAAGGCCATGCACTCATGTGTCTCATAACACAGTTATTTCAGCGTTCCCACTCGTGTCCTGGAGCGAGCTTCATATGCTCACATCACGGGAGCCACCACAGGGGCTCCTGCGAGCCGGTCCCAGGACTAAACAGGCAGAGGTAGGTGCGGGCAGGCTGCGCCTCCCCGGTGCTGGCTTACCTTCCTGTCAGGAGAAGAGTCACTGACAGCGCTGGAGAAACAGGGCAGCAGCTCTCCCTGTACTGCCGGGGAGAGCGCACCGCCCGCTCCATGGCCATGTATGCGTGCTGGGCACGTGGGGCCTGGGGAAATGGGACGGTGGCTCCCTCAGTTACTGGGGTCTGGGTGGAAGTACCTTCTTTCTAGAAGCACCAGCTCAGGACGGAAGCCTGTGCCAGCTCTATTGGCAGCCAGGCTTCTGCTTGTAAAGAGCCCTCGGGAGCTCCGCGCGAGCGGCTGGCCCCTCTTGGGGGCCCTCAGGAAGGGGTGTGGGGGCCTGTAGGGGGCTGTGGCAGGGGGGGCGGAGGGCTGGGGAGGCCTCTGTCCAGCAGCAAGGACTTGGGGCACTGCTGGTCTGAGCTGCCGGCATGGCCCTCGGGGTCTCTGACATTAGCGCAGCATGTGAGCGGCAGGTCACTGGGTCCCAGGCAGCACAGCCTGGCCGGAAGGGCCATGGCGGGCGCTGCAGTGGCTTCCCTGGAGGAGAGGAGGCCAACCAGAGGTTTGTGTGCAGGAGTAGCAGGTCCTGCTGCGTTCCGGAACACCCTCAGTTTGTGAATGGTGTTGGGTAGGCATGCGGAGGGACACAGGCAGGGCTGGGCCTTGACCTTGGCTGGAGGTGAGGAGGTGGGTGGGAGCTGCTGCTGGGTTCATGTGCCCTGGGAGGAGCCGTGGTGATAGCATGTTCCTGGGTGGGGTCGGGGAGATGGGAGGCCATCCTGGGATCTGGCTAGAATCGGATTGTTTAAAAGTAGAAATGCTTTTTTTGCTAACACAGTGCTTTTGTTACAGCTGCCTAAGTGAGACAGTGGCATGTCGCCAAGAATCAAAAAGGCCTTGCTGCTTTTAAAAAATCCCATTTGAAAATGTCGGTGTGGACGCGGATCGTGCATACCTGTTGTGCCCCATTGCTCTTCCCAGTCCCAGTGCTGGGCGACTGTCTAACTGCCCTCGCTCCTCTCTCGGCAGGGCAAGGCGTCGTCCTGGAGCGCTCCATCTACAGCGACTTCGTCTTCCTGGAGGCCATGTACCGCCAGGGCTTCATCCGGAAGCAGTGTGAGTTGCCCGGCTGGGTGCCCTCCCCTGACTCCGACTTCCGGGAAGGCCGTGCACTCGTGTGTCTCATAACACAGTTATTTCAGCGTTCCCACTCGTGTCCTGGAGTGAGAAAAGGAAACCACCTGCGTGCCCTCGGCCCCCCCTTCAGAGGCTATCTTTCGGCCTCTGCCACCTCTGCGGAGTCCTTGTCCTTCTGCTCATGTGCCCATGCCCCGCAGCCTCCCCAGGAGCCCCCCTGGCTCTGCTCCTCTGTACCTTCGTGATTTCCCTGACCTGAGGGTGGAATGGGACCCAAACTCCCCCGACTCTGGGGTCTGGTTTTGGTGGTCTTGGAGGAATCACTTCCCTCTGCTTGCACCTACACGGCTGCCAGCGTTGTCGCAGTCCTCTGTCCCTCTGACACACTGCAGTTCCCGTGTTTGGGGACAGCAGCATTGTGGGGTGTTGAGGTGGGACGGGGCAGACGGGCAGAGTACAGGCCTCCTGCCGAAGAGGAGTGGTCTCAAGGCAGGCCCAGGGTAGGCTACAGTGAGTGCCACCAGGAGCAGGGAGCAGCAGTGAGCAGGCTATGTGGCCCCTTCCCCAGTGTGCTGAGGCCGAGCTGGGGGTCGGAGCAAGCGTGGCTGGGGAGCTGGTGGGGAGAGCCGAGGGGGCCAGCCTGCACCCTGCTGCTGGGAGGTGTGCGTGCGGGGCCGGGAGGGGCAGTGAGGCCAGTCATCTGGCGGCCTGGGCGGCCAGGAGTGTGCGGGCTCTGCTGTACGTGCCGGGCTGTGCCGAGGGCAGGGAGGGGTGATAGACCCACAGGTGGGCAGGCCGCAGACAGATGGCTTCGTCTCCCCAGGAGGCCAGAGTGAGCGGGAGAGCATGGGGTGGCTGCCCTGCCAGCTTCCAGGTGCCACCTGCAGTGCAGCGGGAGGATGGAGGGGAGCCACACCGGCAGCAGCCCCTGCTGTCTCCGGAGGCCAAGATGGGCGCTGGTGGGTGGTGCTGGGAGATGGGCGGGCCACGCCAGGGAGGGCTTGCACCTTGATTGGGATTCTGGGGTTTTCTCCTGAAAATACCAAGCAGCTCCGGAGGGCTGATTCTTTGTAATTGTTTCTTTTCATGAGAGAAAAGCAAAGTGAGGGAGATAGCACCCTCACCATGTCTCACGCCACGACCCTCTTCTAGCCTCCCAGCCAGCCAGAACCAGGGCTGAGTGGTGCACACAGGCTGCCCAGCCCCGTACCCCACCTCCGTGCGGTCCCAGCAGTGAAGAGCTTATGTCCCCAGGACTAGGCCACTGATGGACTTCTAACTGGGAAGGAACGTGGTGAGGTTTGCATGTAAATGAACACAGCCCTTTCTCTGAAGGGTGCGTCCAGAGACACTTGGCGCAACAGTGTGCCCCACGGGCTGCTCTGGGCAGTGGGTGAGAGCTGGGGCCCGGCCAAGGTGTGGACTGGGAGCACTTGGCCAGCCTGCTCAGTCAGCTTTGTGGGAGTGAACTGGGGACAGTAGTAGGACCACCTGGGCGGACGGGCCACCAGCAGACAGTGCACTGAAAGGCGGCCTCACGCGGAGCCCCTGGAGTGCAAGCCCCCGAGACCCTACAGGCATGGTGTGTTGGTGCTACTGGCCCGAGGGCTGGGCGGGGGGCGGTGTCGGGGCAAGCTGGTCTTGGCACAGTCCTTAAGCGATGGTGGGGACTAAGGCCAGGTTTGTGGAGGCTGTTTCTGAGAAGGTGGAGACCCTGAGGCATCGAAGCCGGAGGGTCGCAGGTACTCCTGGACAGCCAGAGAGGGTGGGAGAAGGGTCAGTGGTTGCTGCCACAAGTGTAGTGATGAGAATGGAGATGTGGCCGTGGGCTTTCCCTGTTGGGGGCACTGGAGCTGGGCTGGTGAGAAGGGAGATGACAGATAAGGTCAGAGTGGTTTAAGGAGTGGAAGCGCCGGCGGGAGTACTGGGAGAGAGGGGACTTGGCCAAGGGAGCCGGTGCAGCCAGCGTGCTTCGTGGACGGTGTTGGTGCCGCCTGGAGCTGCCTGGACGGTGCTCGTGGACACTGCGCGTGCTCGTGGACGGTGCTCGTGGACACTGAGCGTGCTTGTGGACGGTGCTTGTGGACGGTGCTCGTGGATACTGCGCGTGCTCGTGGATGGTGCTCGTGGACACTGCGTGTGCTCATGCCACCTGGAGCTGCCCGTGCCACCTGGAGCTGCCCGGACGGTGCTGGTGCCGCCCTGTAGCCCGGTATTTTGCTCAAGTCGCGTTCCCCCTGCGTAGTCCTCATGGGCCAAGTCTCTGTCCTGGGGTTAAAGGCGCTGCCCAAGGTGCTGGTCCTCTGAAGCCAGTCGCTGGGCATGGCTGGGAATGCAGCGTGGTCGCCTGCCATGTTTGGCGCAGTCACCCGTTTGTTGCTTTGGAAGGTTCCCTCGTGAAGATCGGCAGATGGTGGTTTCTTGACATGGCCCCTGGGGGTGAGGTAGCTTTTCTTCACCCACACCCCTGCAGTGGGCTCCCCGCTGTTTCCTGGCAGCCATGTGTGCCGGTGACACGCAGGTACAGGGTATCCACAGGAGGGCGAGTGTGCCTGCATGACACCATCCGTGTCGGAGGTCTGACGACGGCTTCGACAGACCCATTCTGCAGCCCTGGCGGCTTTCAGGGTGTTTTGTTGTCTAAACCTGGCCCACTGGGTAGTTCTGTGTAGCTGGCTGAGTTTACAGAAATAAGTTACACCCGGGGAATCGAGACTGACATTTTCCAGTTATTTGGAAAATATTTTCAAAATGTTCCTTATTCGCTGGGGAAGCCCAGACTCCTGTGCCTGTGGCCCTGGGAAGGAGTGAACACACCGAGGAGGACACACCGAGGAGGACACTGTGTGACCACCTTCCCAGGAAGGACAGGTGGATTTGGACGTGGCCGGACGTGCCACAGGTCTGTCCTGTGGCGTGATGTCCGTGGCACAGCGGGCCTGCCCTGAGTGTGAGTCGTGAAGCGCCTCTGGGCTCGACTCTGGCCCTCGTGGCCCCACAGCTGCCACGTGCAGCCTGTGGTTACGCTGTGGCTGTCGTGTACCTTCTCTCTCTGGGAGGTGCCTGTTTTGTGGACCTGCGGGGACTTCGTGGGGACTGATGGCCTCTCTCCTGGGCTCGCAGGTGTGGAGCACTACCACGAGGTGAAGAAGGTGACCATCTGCGAGTACCTGCCTCCCCACATAGTGGTCTACATCGACGTGCCCGTGCCCGAGATCCAGAGTCGGATTCAGAAGAAGGGAAACGTAATGCACCTTTGCCCCGAGGCCGCGCCGCTTCCTGAGTCCTCGCGGTCTTGACTGCCCGTCAGCACCTACACCCTGCCATGCCAATGGTGGGCGCCTCGCTCCCGACTGTCCCTCTGGGATGGGGTTCCCACTGTGGGGCCCCACCGAGAGGGCGCTCCTGCGGGTGGATGGGCCACCCTACTGCTGTCACCAGGTCACATCAGTCAGTCTCGCGAGAGGGGGAGGGCCTCTTTGCAGAAATTCCTCTGCTGGGTGCCTGTCTAGTCTCCAGTGGGCTTTTTCCTTGAGAGAGTTGTGCTATAGGGCGCATGCACTCACCAGAGAGAGAGACAGAGAGAGGGGAATCCTCCCCTGGGTGGATGGCCACAGCAGCATCTCTTCTCCTCCAGTCACCTCTGGGATTTTGGGCACACACACTGGCATGAATTTTAAGCCACTGGGTCTGGAACTCGAACCACAGTTGACTATGTGGGGGTCCAGCGACGTGACCATCACACCATCTTCTGGTCCTTCCGGTGGGGTTTTTAGGTCTTGTTATTTACCTGTGAGCTGAAAGTGAGTTCAGAGCCCTTTCAGTTCCGCACTTACGTCCGTTTCTCCCAGTCGTGCCTCTCTCCTTTCCCACTCCGGACTAGGGCAGTGGAGTGGTCCCTACACACATCCGTTTCCCCCTAATTAGGTGGCCAGAGACTCGCATCCTGAAGTTGCCGTGGCCTGTAGCCCCGTAGGCACGATGGAGGTGCAGGACTGGCTGAGCATTGGCCTCGTGGCTAGCTCTCGTTTAGTATTGCAGAGTTTTTTCCTGGGGGAAAGTGTCATCTCCCCCTAGACTGCGATGGGAACGTGGGGTTTCTCATGTGCCCGCCGGCCCAGTGCCTACCCTTGGCTGGCGTTCCTGCCGGCACTCAGGAGATGACCTTGTCCAGCGGGCAGAAAGCTCCTGAGAGGGGCTATGAGACCAGCTTTCCTGCTGGCCTGCTGTGACCACGGGACATCCGGGCCAGCCGATGGCTGCCCACTGCCTTCCACTCTAGAGAGCTCGCTCTTCACTGGGCCGTGGTTTCCACTCTGAAGAATGTCCCATCAGTGGCAAAAGGGGGTACTATGAGTGAGAAATACTCAGTTATTTCTCCATGAAATAATTTTGCACAGCTTTGCTTACTAAACTGATAGTTACTGAAAAATAAAAATTCAGAATCTCCAGATTACTGTTTTGATAGCTGGAATAACAAGATCTTATAAATGATCCCAAGGGTCCATACGGGAGCAGTCAGCTTTTTAATTTTTTTGTGCAAGTCTTAGCAGAACACTGTCACAGCTGAGATTACCGCTGTGTGTGAGAGGAGACGCTCCAGGCGAGGCCGTGTCACGGATGCGCGTGTCTTACCTTGATTTTTTGGCAATGCCATCTGCGCCTCTGCTGCAGCCTTTGGCAATGAATGGCAGGCCAGCCAAACGCCGTTTCTAAACTCTAGGAAGGCGAGCAGTCACCCACACTGCTGCGTCCAGTGTGGACTGGACTCCTGGGCCAGAGGCTTGTCCTGTGTGTGCGCACCGCCCGCCGGCCCCGTCTGGTCTGCGTGTGATCTGACTGTCCTTGGAGCACAGGGTGGGCCTTCCAGCCCGCCGCCTGTGTTAGAGCACTTTGGCTGCCCGGCCTCTCTTCCCTAGCCCGAGTCCCCCCCACGCAGAAGCACTCGCAGCCGCACCCAGGAGGATTCGAAGGTGAAGCACAGCCACCTCTGCAGGGTGCCAGGTCCTTCCTGGAGGGTGTGGCTGCTGCCTGTTTTCCTGGGGGACATATTTGGTCTTTGGAAGAGTTTTGGTATGTTTATTATGTAAAAATTCATTACTTTTCCAGTGACCCCACATGATCCCCCCTTTTTTAGATTTTTGCTGTAGAGTGCGTGCACACATAGAGGAGAGAGAAAGAGATAGAGGGAAAGTGAGAAGCCACCCTCCCCACAGGGTCCACACCAAACCCCTTGTCCTGTATTCTCTTCTTGAGATTTTGGGCATGCACCCACATATGCCTGACATGTTTCTCAAGCTGCCGGGTCCAGAACTCGAACTGCAAATTCAGCCACGTTTGACCCAGCACCTTAATCACGCCACCTGCTGGCCCTGTGACCCTATCCATGACAGAATGGCGAGAAGGCAAAGCTGCCTGTGTCATATATTTTTGTTTTGTGAACAGCTTTAGCGAGGCATACTTAATATTCCATGAGAGTCACCCATTTTAAGGGTACAACTCTGATTTTAGTACATTCACCACGTTGTCGCAAGTACTCAGTAATGCGGTCTTAGAGTATCTCTGTCATCGTACATTGAGCAGCAGGCCTACTCGTTTTTCTCTCTCTCCCTCCCACAGACTCTGCTAGAGCTTCCCTTCCCCCGTGCTGGACTTGGTGCGCAGGGGGACAGAGGCTTTGCTCCAGGGCCTTCCCCTGTGCTGGGCTCGGTGCACAGGGGGACGGAGGCTTTGCTCCAGGGCCTTCCCCCGTGCTGGGCTC